TTAAAGGCAATATAGTTCCAAGTTCAAGCAACGTAAAATAATGAGCAGAGTTCGTTTTCAGTTCATTAACATAGTTGTCAGTGTTTCTGGGCAGGTGGTAATACAGGAAGTTTCACTGGCCACCAGTGAACCTGCTGAGTCCCCTATCTGAGTCTCTCTGCCTTGTTGCTTCTTGTCACAGTTCTCAGTAATGTGTTCTGTAATTCTCTGATCTTTTGACATTGCTGTTCATGGTAAAGGGAATTTAATCAAAGTATGCATGTTGCAATTTTATTTAAGCAGAAGTAATGATAGCCCTAAATTCAAGTTTCTATGTGATCATTTTCATTAGATATGCATGTAGTCTCAAGCATGGCCTCTCTGGAGCTGGACAGGCAGAGTGGGGCCCAGGCTCTCTCCTCCTCCCTGTGCCCACACGCTCTCTTCCTCACCTATCTACCTCCCTGTGAGGGTAACATTATGAGAGGACCACTCTGATGAACACACCGTACCTTCAGAATTTCTCCTTTATGTGTCAAACCAGGCAAAGATTTTCAGAGAGCATTCAATGAAATTATACAGAGATGGAACATGCATATGTGTGTGTAGACATGCATGCAAATATATGCACATATATACATGCACACAGGTAGAAGCACAAATACACACAGGCTTGCAATGCAAGTCCCACTCGTGGTATGTTTCAGTCCTAACCCCCAGAACTGATGAATACATCTTTATGGAGAAAAAAGCATCTTTGGAGAGTAGATACGATTAAGTTAAGGATCTCAAAACAAGATCATCCTGGATTACACAGTTAGACCCCAAATCCAGTGTCAATGACCTTGACTAGAAAGGCAGAGGGAGATTTGCAGCAGAGAGAGCACCATGAGAAAATAGAGACTGGGGTGATGAAGTCAGAAACCAGGGAACCTGGAGCCCTGAGAAGCTGGAAGAATCAGGAGAAATTCTGCATCCTCCGGAGCCTTCAGTCACCTCTCCTCCAGACCTGGGAGAGAATCCAGTCCTATCATTTCCGGTCACTAAATTCATAGAACTTTGTCTTTGCAGCCCTTGTAAACCAATGTTAAACATAGCATAACTGACAGATCCATTACCCGCACATATGTATGCCTATCTGTGCATGTTTACCTATGCCAAGCATGAGTCCGGGCACACCACTTATACTCTGCAACTCTCACCTTCTGCTCTTCTCCCTGCCATACCCTGCCTTGCCTCAGTTTTCTGGAATGAGCGTGACTCTGCAAGTCACCACCTATTCCACTGAGTGTCCCTCCCCAGTTTCAGTGTCTGCTGCACAGTGCTTCCTGGCATGAGAATCTTCTTCCTGGGCCAGTCCTAACAATGAAAGGAGACCAACACGACTGGCATTCTCTGAGCCACAGTTTGCCCACCCAAGCTCCACACTGCATGTGACCCCTGGATGTTCAGAAGGCCTTCAGCAGCAGCCAAGTGGAGCCAGCATTGAAGATCTCTGAGAAAACAAAGTCTTCCTAAAATCCCTTGCTGTTCCTAGGGATACCCTGAGCCCCACAACACTGTAACCATAAACGTTCATAGCCTTTGTTATGTGTCACACATTGGAGTAAGTACCTTCTCAGAGTAACTCATTTAATTCTCAAAATGTTTCTTCAAATTATCTATCACCCATCATCCAAGGAAGAAACTGCGGTACCAACAGCACTGAGCTCCTGAGCCTCTGTCTCCTAGTAGGGCCAGAGTCTGCACCACATAGCAGCCCACTGTCACCTCTAAACTCTTGCCCACCTGGGATTTATGTGTTGTTGGTTTTGCTTCTCTTCATCAGGCAGGATCTGCTCACTTGAAAACTGGATTAGAAACAACAGATTTTTGTTGGTATCAACTGCTAAAGAGATGATGAATGGAAGCAAATATATTGGTAATAGTGTTTCCTATAGGTAGTGCTAAAGATTTTTGAAATATACTGAAATCTTGAACAGTGACCTTTTCCATAGCCCTGGAAAAAAAAGACAATAGAATACAGGGAGAGAAAGGCCATAGAATGCTTTTATCATCGATGGCTACTATCTGTGGGGTTGTGGGGCCATGCTCATCGTACCTTGCCGACTCAGTGAAGAGTCACAGCTGTAGATTTATCAGGTATTTTTATTTATTCCTTTGCACCTTGTGACACAGAAACCTGGAATGGTGGGAAAGAGTTCTTCTCTTAGATTCCAGGATAAATACTGTTTTCCTGCCTACCTATGTTTATTATCGCTCTCTGCCAGTTCTACGGACTACATGCTAGAGAGATGGGGAAGATGAGGCAGCCAGGTCGGCTGTGTTCATCTCATCTTTTCCCCAGGCCTGGCTGTGTCCAGAGAGCATGCTGAGCCTCTTCCTGCACCAGCCTCACCTGGTCAGAGGCTCCCTTCCTGCAGACGTCCGCTGACACTTAGGTCCCGGAGTTATCCATTCAGCCTCGCTGTCCTTCTTCAGCGGTGGCCCAGCCACAGCACTGGGGTCCAACCCCAGCGGCAGCAGCAGAAGCACTCTGCAGGGTGCAGGGGAGCCTTCCTACTTTCTGCTTGGGGTCTTCCCTGGAGCTCCATGCTCCATTCAGCCAGCAAACACTGTAGCCACAACAGTAGGATGTCACACACCCCAACAGGACCCCTAGTCCTTGGGAAGACACACTAGTGGCTTTCTATCCTTCATGTTACAATTTGGGACAGGCATTTCCTTCCATTTAGGGGCTCTTTAAACCATCAAGCCTCCCTTGCCATTAGCAATGACCTTGATATAACGTGCCAACTTTTTCTTTTGCAATTTTATTTCTCATTCATTTCCATGTATGTTTTCAAGAGTCATCTCCTAGACAACATACCCAAGCACAAGTCCTGGCTGTAATCCTCAATTTGGGAAAAATCCCTCAAAAGAAAGAAAGAAAGAAAGAAAGAAAGAAAGAAAGAAAGAAAGAAAGAAAGAAAGAGAAAATAAAGGAAAGCCAAAGAGAAGAGAAGAGAAGGGAAGGGAAAAGGAGGGGAGGGGAGGGGAGGGAAGGAAAGGAAAGGAACTCTGCTTGATTATTTGGCTTTGCAGGTTGGCCCTTTTCTGTTTCTACAGAGAGCTAAGTCTTCTGACCTCTTTCAGCAACAAGACCTTCAGTTCAGGTTACTTCTTAAATTCCCTAGGCTGTGAAAGAAGGTGTTGTGCTCCTTTAGAAAGGCACAGGGAGATCTCAGCATGCTGAAGTCAGTAAGACATCCGTGCTGTCAGACAGTTTGGCGGTTTGCAAAGTGACCTTGTATCTTTGAGATCAACAATGGGAAGAAAACACACATGTACATATGTGCTCAGTAAGGAGTTTGGCTGGGTTAAGGGGCTCTGTACACGTACAACCTCAAGCATATCGCAAACCCCAAAACTGGGTAAGATACAGGTTATCTAAGATGGAATGCCGTCTTCAGAATGATCACTTTGAACTAGAAGAAAGGAATAAAAGAGTGTGAATTATTGGCAGAAAAAGTTATATGGCTTTTAAGCCTTCAACATGAAATACTAACAAGAATATCCTGGGAGCTGGACATGTGTGTATTTTCAATTTTTTGGATCATGGGTTCAATTTGGACTCTGGCTCTGTATTATTGGTTGTACGATTTTAGATATCTCTATCTTTAAACACTGCTATCCACTTCTGGAAAATGGGCATACAGATGTGGAAATCCTTCTCCAAAGTGCAGTGAGCATGAGAACAGTGAGGCAGGTGGTGCATTAGGAAAGTGCTTTGCACACATTTGCATTCCACTTAATGCCAGCTATTTGAATATGTCATCTACTGCTCTGTCTCCCACAAAATGCAGTGGTTGACAAAGACTAGCATTTAGTGTGTCCAATGGTGGCTAAGGACCAAGAACGCAGAGCCTGCTGAGCTGTGTAGGTACAGTTCACAGTTGTACAAGGTTTCGGTCAGGTGTCTGCTGGGCCCCAGTCCTTCAGAGGATTCAGTCCATGGTCCACCCTTCACAGTCTTGACTGAGTCTTAAGGATCTAATTCCAGGATGGTTTCTGTGACCGCGAAGCTTAATGGTCAGCCTGACTGTGCTGGGAGCTGCTGAAGAGAGGTAAAGGACACTTCTGGGTGTGTCTGGGCACATCACGGGAGCGTGATCTTGGTGTCCGTATCTGGCTCCTTGTCCTTTCCTGTCTGCTGCTGTTCCCTTTCTCTGCCTCCATTCCATGAAGTAAACATCTTTACTTCTCCGTGCTTTGCCACTATATTGCTGCCATGGAGACAATCGACCATGGACGGAAACCTCTGAAACCATAAACAAGTTAATCTCTTCCTTTAGATGATGGCATCTGGTGATCTGTCCTGGTAATGGCCAGCTGACTAATAAAGTTTCCTCTTGTGACAGCAAGCTGGCTTTGGCAGCTATATGACAGATTCAGTTTCTTGTCACTGAGAATTCTCCCTGGAACCACTTTGATGCTTCACAATATGGTACCTGGCTTCCCATGTGTGCGGCTATAGTCAAGACACACAACCTTTTACTGTCTATTCTGTAGATATACAAGATGTATATGTACACACATATACTTTAATTTTTCCACTTTAATTTTTATTCTACTTCTATGTGTATATTATCTCAGTGCAGTTTAATGTGATTTTTATTTTAAAGGCATTGATTTTAACCATAGGAGCAGAGAGGAGAAAACTGTCATTAAAACATTCCCATGACCCGCAAACATGAACATGTAAACAAGGAAGTGGTTACAACAGGTGCAAGGGAATGGAGGAAGGAAAGACGTATATTTGAAAAACAGATGGGAGGACTGATTGGATGAAATCACTGGGTATGAGCAGCCCTGGGTTGGAAAGAAGACAAGGAGAAGCAGGAAACAGATGGCAATAGAGAAAGGAGCAATGAGGTCAATGACAGATTATTGGACACATTTGTGCAGGACCTGGACTCATCACAGAGGCGGTGACTAAGCCTGGCTTGGGCACAGTGTAAAGTGGGGCAGCTTGACAAATCCTGGAGGCAGGACATAGCTGAACATTCTGACATCTATTATGAGCAACATGCCTGTCCCTGCAGGGTCATGGGGACTGACTGACTAAGGTCCCCTGAGAGGACATATTGCGCTCTTCTTCCCACACCAGGAAAGACTGAGACGTAACAATGCTTGTGGAAGGTGAGTCTGTGACCTGAGAGCCCAGGTAGCCTTCCTGGATTCTGGTGACAACAGGCAAGGGTAACTCAATTTTGAGAGCAGACTGAAGGTGACACAGTGCTGTCCCTCAGCATCATTTGAGGAGTTGGGCTTCACACTGCTGAGCACAGTGATGCCCACTGTTCCCTTAAGGCTCAAATTAAATGGCTGCTCTAAGCCCTGGTTACTTAATCCTGATAAGTTTCATGAACTTATGTTTCTTTTATTTATTTTTTTTATCAACAGTGAGAGAACAACTGCTAGACAATTTCCGTGAAGATTCAGCGAGAGGCTACTTAAAATGATGTAACTCATGGGCGACAGTAGCTTCCGTTCCCTTTGCTTGACACACACCAAACTGCGTACACTGAAGGGAATCAGATGTACGACTCTGAGGTAAGTGACCGTGAAGTGACAGTGGCATTCTGTGGAACAGCTCATGATTCTGAAGGCTCTATTAACCAACTGAAGTTTTCAAAACCCGCCGGGGTGCGGGGCCTCCCACGTGACATAGTGACTTGCTCAGTGGTCCTCTTGGACTTTGTCCTGTAGCATTTGGTTGTAACCACCTCAGCACGTTCCCGTGATCAAATTTTCTTGCAAAGGCATATTCTTGTCTACCCCTGGTGCTCACTCTGTGTTTTACTTAGAGTCTATTTGACTTAGCTTCCTTATTTTAAATTGAATATTCAAAATAATCTTTTATTTCTGGAAAGAGCCACAGAAACCACCCTACCAAACATATTGTAGCCCCATCATCAAACCCACCAGCTATTTGTAGGAACCTATGTCATGAGTGCTACTGTATTTTTCTCTTGCGACAGAAGATGTTAATGTAGAGTTGTTTGTTTTAAACTACTCAGTATTCTGGTTTAATTGCAATACTGGCACTTTTTGATAAATAAGTGGGTTTGGGGTTGCAGTTGGCCACTCAATCTCTAAAAGGTTTTCCATCACTGACACAGGGTGATGCACAGTTATGTCTTCGTCATTAAATACCCTAAGAGGCTGGGCTTGTTTTCTTATAGTAACATTTTTTTCTGTTCTAAGTGAATGAGGTGTGTGGTCTAATAGCAAATAGTACATTCCAGATCTCAATGCCAAAGAAGGGCAGTGAGCGTTCATCTACAGTATGATCCTGGAAAATAAAATCTGGTATGCAAATGTAACAGTGAGTCCTGAGGGGTGGGGACCAGAGTGCTGATAAACAGAAGTTAGTTTGGATAAAAGGAAATGGCATATAGTACTTATTCTGAAGAACAAAGAATAACTGAAACTGCAGGAAATTAATGTCTTAACATGTCAGAGATGAGAAAGAAATCATTGCAAAGACGGACTGAGAATGGTAGGTACCATAGCCCCTCTCTGGAACACACCCTGGCTTTCCACTAAGGACTGGGCTTGGGTTTGGTAGGACACTGCTTCTTGGAGCAACACTTTCTTCTGCTTTCAAATAAAGATGGTCCTACCTATGCTACCCATAGTCCTGGAGCAGTCGGGGAGCAGCAAACATCCACTGTGCAAATGTGTAAAAACTGCATACAAGACACATTTCAGCGGCAGTTTAACCTTAAACAGATGGTGCCCGCTTCCCGGACTTGTGCGGGACAAGTTCCTTGTCATGTGAGCACACTTACAAATTGTTCCAGCTGTTGCAAAATCCCCTTCCAGGTTTGTAGCCAGCCAGAGATTAGCACATCTGACTCCACTGAATCCCCGTGGAAACTTCTACCCTCAGCAGGGCTCTCTCTCTCTCTCATTTTTAGGGCTCACTTGAGGGCTGAGGGGTAAAAATAGCTTGCAGTACATACAGGACAACCAAGGGGTGTTTTTTCCGTTTTATTGCTTTATTTTTCTCCTTATGGATTACAATTGATCTATAAAAACTTCATATGCTCAATCTATACGATATGATGAATATTGGTCCTATGTATGGTTTGGTGTTAATGTCACTACAATCAAGGAAAAAAACATTGATCACCTCTGACAGCTTCACTGTGTCCCTTCAAGTATCTATGCGATAGAAACATTTGACATGAATCTCGCTCTTGCATTCTAGATGCTGTATCTGCAAAGTGTGAAATAGTCCAATGTGCATGAGGATCTTATTGTTAATAGTGTGACTGCTGAGAGGTAACTGGCTGCAAAGCACAGCCCGGGACACCTGTTCCACATGGAAGCCGTCACCTGGAGGTCACTTTAAGGAAAGATGCCTTTCCTTTACCTCATCTACATGGTGTGAAAAGTAAAATTTGTTGGTGAGGGTTTCAACAGGCTAAGTGTTGCTTAGATAATTTCAACCTTCAGCGCTGTGGAAAACATTCACTATTGAGCGCACAGGATGAGAACTTGTCTGAGGTCACGCCCCATCTCCACTTTGGAGATGAAGGTAGAGAAGGATTTATTTTGAGTAACAAAGCTGATAGAGCGATCTAGATGTTGAACCCAAATGATTCACTCCAGACCAGTACTTGTATCCTGGGGCCCAGGGTCATTTCATGCCCTGTATATTTTTGCACTGAAGAAAGAGTATGTCAGAATACAACAAAGCCTCCAAGAAGCATCACGGAGCACTGATATCTAGATCACACTATGTGTATGGAAATCACATGTCAAAACCTTCAGCATTTCCTGGCCTGTTTTCCTGGCCATGTCAACCTATCTGTAACCTTCCCCTAGCCCTGGCCTTGTGCCTTTGTGTCACATGCCAGGAGCACATTACCTGTTCCCTCTGGGTTTCTTATGGGTACATAAATGAATAGTTCTGCAATTGAATGCATGAACATATCCTCTGCAATTTTATAGACTTTGTCTATTTAACTAAATTTTAAATTTTAATTTTACTTTCAAATAATGCTTTAGCTAAAGAGAATTGTCAAAGTGTTAAAAGACAAGGGTTTCCAAATTTTAACCTCTAGAATCCTTAAATTGAAAGATGTTACTTGTTCTGTACATCATGTGCCATTAATTTTTTAAAGTTCATTATTTAACTTTTACAATGCATTTTTAAAAGTGGATTGATATATAATACCTTAGGCACAATTTCTCTCATAACTCATTTGTGAAATACTGACACATCCCACTTTTTAAAATCGTGTATCCATTGAGTTCTGAGGTCTAGACTATGCCTCAGCCAGATATATGTGAATAAAAAGATAAATTTCACATAGGCAGTAGTGCACATATGACCAGGAATGTGCCCCTTCCACTTCTTATTCTGCTCTCTTAGGGTTCATTACATTCTTATCCTAGGGGCTGTGATAGCTCCCTAAAAGGGAAAATGAATCGGGAGAGCCCTCATCACATACCCTGTGCAGCGCATGTGATCTAAGTGAAATAAGACCTCGCCTATGTTTGCTATGTATTCTTCTCTGCACTGCAAAATGAATGTGGGAAAATTTCATAGTCATCTTAATGTAAAAATATTTTATCGTGAAAGTTATATGCACTTAAGTTTTGGCTCTTTCTTAGAGAAGATGAACACTGAACAAGTTGGATATTTTATCTAGAATACTTTGCTTTTGTCTGGACTTCTAATCTTGAACTTTATGACTGATTTCTATTAGTTCAGAGCATACTCAATGCCTAGAAGCTCATAAATAGCATTTATTCTCAGAAATTCCTATTCTAGAGAAAACTTGTCTGTATCAATAATATGTATCACCAGAGCTTCACAGAGCAACAGAACCCACAGGGGAGATTGCATGGCACTGCAATCCCTGGGCACGAACTGTCTAGAGAACAGGAGCAAGCTCAACGGACCACACATGCCGATCACACATTGTGACCTCCTTTCAGATCAACTTAAAGCCAACCTGTGAGGTGCTATAAGCCTACAGGCAAAATCCCCTTACACTGGCAACCGCTTCTATATGCTTGAATAGTTGAGAATTGAGGCTGAGTTGATACAGTCAGTCTCCAGTAACTGACACACACACCTACACACACACACATGCACACACTGATGCACATGCATGCACACATGTCAACACACACAATTTAATGATAAAGCACTACCTTTGGTAATGTTAAGTCATCACCATGGAGATGATTTTCAAGGATGAGGTGTTGTGTGAATACCACTTAAGCCTTCCCTCTCACACAGTGGTTTCTAGGTAGGTTGAGAAAACACTTCTGGATGAAATATGGGGTTATTCTCTAAGTACCCTGGTGAAAGAGAAATACAGAATGTCTGGAAATTAAGTATGAATGAGGTCTTAGAGGAAAGTCTTCCATCTCACAAGTACTGAGCAAGCTGGAGAAGAAAACAGGATAAGATTCTTTCTTTCACTTCTACTACCTCAAATAATCACATCCATTCTCAACTTGGTATGAGCTCTTAGTATATTATCCTCCTGGTTATTAAATTCCTTGGGCAACTGCTTATCATATGTTTCTCACACATACAAAATGGTGATATTTGTTTTCCTACTGCAAACTCAAGACAACGTAGGATAGTTCAAAACATCAGCAAAGAGCTTATGCTAATCCAGAAACAAAGAAGACCACCACAAAATTGAGGCACACAGCATCTGATGCTAGTGACAATATTTAAATGTCAGCAGCCTGGTGCCATTTAAGCCAAGGCATCAGTGTACTCCAGTTCTAACCAACATCATCCTTACATTCGAGTGCAACAAGCACTAATGATCTCAGGAATCACCATTGGAACCATCAAGGAAGCTTCAAATCTGTGTTGAGAAGCTTGCGTAAACATACCTGTGTGCTCGGAAAGTTTCTCTGCAAACGTGGCTCCCAGAGTGAGATTTCTTTGTCTGAAAAGAAGCTACAGTATGTCCAAGACAGTGTCAGATGCTAGACAAAATAGCACAATCCATACATTTATGGTTCCTCTTCTGTCTGCTTTGGGATTGAATTGTGTCCGCCTGAAGCTGATTGTAGGAGTGAGAGCCAACATGCATGTGCCACTAGAGATAGGAGGAGAAACACAGGAAGGAGGTTTATTACTATAAAGCACTGCCTATGGCTGGCATAGATCAGATCTTAGGAAGAGATAATAGAGCGTAATAATTTGGGATCCAGCATTTGGAAGTAAAAAGCTTAACTCTAAATCTTTATTCTACAACCAGTCCACAGTGTAATAAAAATCACATTATCTCAGGATACCTTACTTTATTCTTTCCAAAAGTGGGCTAATAGTCCTTTCCTACGGGGCCTTATAAAAACACTGTCAGTGTCTTTAAAGTATTTTGCTATGGCTTTCATATTGCAGGACACTCATTGGTCCCCTAGCAACAGTGATGGAATTGGGACCTGCCAGGTTAGGTCCAGGCGGAACTGCCCTTGTGAATAGATTAAAGCCAGTATCGAAAGGGCTTGCATGAATTATTTGCTTCCTTTTGACCTTCCACCATGTGAGGTCACCTGTTCCTTCC